TAAAGGTTGGCATAACTGAAAACGATTTAATGATAGTAACGGAAGTAAAAAAAAAAATTTAACGATTTGAATAATAATATTTAATATTATCACGTTAAAATTTGTTTCTTATCACAACCCACGTGATAATGATGATGATGATGATGACGATAAACTTTTACGTCATTTTTCAGTATAATAAAAAAAAAAATTATTTTTTTAGAAGGGTGGAAAAAAATTTGAATGAGTTATTTTACCTCGAAAAAATATAAAATAAATTTCAAATTTGTCGTGCGAAACCCGGGAAAAAAGGAGATTCAGGAGAAGGTGAGGGGAGGGAGAGGGGAGAGGAAAAAAGGAAAGTGTTTACATTTGAAATCATTTTAAATTAAATTTAAGGAAGGAAAATGATGAAAAGTTCAAATCCCAAAAGTAATTAAATAAGATTTACAAAGGAAACAAAAAAAAAAAATTTGAAAAAATTGAGAGAGAGATAGAGGGGAGAGGGTAGTAAAAAAGGGTAAAATGATAATAATAATGATAAAGAAGGTGTTAATGTCGTGAGTGGTATAAGTGGGAGTGTACTCGTGTAATCCAACTACTCGGAGGTTAGGCTTGGAGGATGTTTTAGGGACGGGGAGGTTTTGGGATTGGATTTTCCAAGTTGAGTAACCGTTCGCTAGGGGTTGAGCTTCAGCTTGGATGCCTTAGGGGAGCCCGAGATAGCCAACTTGAGTTCGAAAAGGGGTAAAATCAACCCTGGATTAACAAAAAAAATTTTTTTAAACTTTAAACTTTAAATGAAATTTTATGTCAAACAAATTTTTTTTCAACACATTGAAAAAGTTAAAAAAAAAAAAAACCGTTAAATTTTTTACCTTATACTTCCCCTCCCTCCCTTGAAAATAAGAAAACCGTTAAAACATAAACGGGGGGAAGGGGGGAAACGCACGCGTAATAAAAAAAAAATTTTCATTTCCTTTTAAATAATTAAAAAAAAAAAAAAAAAAAAAGAAAAAAAATATTAATTTTTCTTACGAATACTTTTTATTATTACAATTATTTTTCCTCCCTTTCCCTCCCCTCCCCTTCTCGTTTTTTCTTTTCTTTTGCCATGTTTTTTTTTTTTTTTTTAAATAAACTAATTACACTTTTATTAAAAAAAAAAAAAAAATTTTTTTTATTGCGGTTACGCAAAATCCGCGACATTTTATTTTTATTAATTTTTTTTTTATTTTTCTTATTAATAATTAATTAACTAAAATTACTTTGATGACCTTTTGACCTTATCAACATTATTATTATTTAATCAATTTTTTTCTTTTCAACACACTCTCCTTTGATTTATTTGGTCTTTGAGTGTAATTTTAAACAAAAAATTATTTAAATATATATAATAACAACATAACTTCTTATTCATTTCGGCGTCTTTATTATCACCACGTGACATTCGCGTTATCATTCCGCTGATAAGAAAAATATTATTTTTTTTTTAATTTACCCAAAGCTAACGTCGTCGTACGCTTCATCATCATCATCATCGCAATATCTCTTCTCGTAAATTTATTTGATAAAACCTTTTATTATTATTATTATTTATCGTTTTTTATGTTAATAATTAATAAAATTATTTATTACACAAACAGGAAAAGTTAAAAAAACGGATTCGAATGACGTAAATAACATACATATATATACATTAATAAAGTTATTAAAATTCACGAAAATAATTCGTAAAATAAATTAGTTAGTTAGTTATATATTTACATAAATAATTTATTGTTTTATTATCTATCCGAAATGAAAAGATAAGAAAAAGAAAGAGATAGATAATGGAGGGAAGAGAGAGAGAGAGAGTTTCCGGTAATAACAAAAAAACAAGTTTAATAAAATTCCTTTCGGTTCGTTACAAAAAAAATAATAATAATAAAAACCGTCATGGTTATCTCCAAACTTATTAAAAATAAATAAATAACTTATTTATTTACATAATTTTTTTATTAATTGATAAAAAAGATAAAAACTTTAAATAATAATAATAATACTTCAAAGCGCAAATTCTTTCTGTTTTTTTTTGTAAAGATGGAAAAAAAAATTTTTGGCGGTTTTCTTTTTTCATGAGATAAAATAATAATAATAAAATTATTATTATTATTATTATTAGGGAGTGGAGTGATAACATAAAATGATAAGAAAAAGGTACGATAAGAATTTCCGGTAGATATTTAAATCGAAGGGAGGAGGAAATAAAAAAATTAGGAAAATTCTTAAACGGATAAAAGTGAAAATTAAGGAGGGATGACGTTATTTATTAATTTCGCCGCCATTTTTATTTTCGGGGCCCGAGTAAATTTTGAAAAAAAATGGCGGGAAATTTTTTTTTTCGAAAATAATTACAAATAAAATAAAAAATAAAAAATTTATTATTATTATTATTTTTTTTTGAAAATTTGCCTTTTGATTATTTTTTTTTTTTTGTTTTCCTGTTCCTGAATCCCAAAAGGATTCGTTTGTTTGTTGACATTTTTTTTTTTTCGTTTGCCTGTTTGTTGTTTTTTAAAACTTTTCCTTTTTTTTTTTACCGTCGGAAAAATCATTTCGGGAAAATTTTTATTTTTTTTTTTACATTGAAACTTTACGAGTTTAATTTAACTTATTTTAATAATAAAAAATTTTCCCCCACCCCGATTTTCTGTCGTTTTTCCTTTTTTTTTCACTTTTGACCTTTTATATTATTATTTTTTTTCTCTGTCGTACCGACGGTTTATTATTTTTTTTTTATTCTCTTAAAAACAAAAATCCTGTCGAAACCTTTTTTTTTTTCCTTCGTTCGAAACCTTTTTTTCTCTAACGTCACGTCTCGACATTTATTTATTTATTTAACACCCTAAAAAAAAATTTAAATTCGTAACGTTCTTCATTTTTTTTATAGATACTTTAAATTTAATTAATTAATTAATTAATTTTTTGTTTCAGATTCGTATGAACTAATTAATAATAATAATAATAAAACCAATACATATCAAATAATTCAAGACTTACATAATTAACGTATACATATCAATTAGCCGTAAGGAAACAAAAAAAAAAAAAGAAAATTTTTTAATTATTATTATCATCGTATATATATACATAAATTAGATTTTTTATACATAAATTTATTAATTAATAATTATTAAAGGGATTTATTCAATGGGAAAAATTTATAATTAATAATAATAATAATTACAAGAAGAAAGAGAGAAAAGAAAAGTAGCAAGGAATAAAATAAAGGAAAGTTTGGGTGCGTGTGAGTGTGAGTGTGGGCGTGTGCGAGTGGGTAAATAATTAAATATGGCCGTCATCGATTCATTATGAGATTTGGAGAAGGTGATCCGACAGAATATTTAATGATTTTTGGACTGAATCGTCCGAGATTCGCAATTTTTCTCGCGTTTTTATTATTCGCATCAATTTTATTTACATTTAACATTTTATACGACGGTACGGTTTGTACATTGGAAAGGAATACGGGAACGTCGTCCTACAGGACAGGAAGAGGAGGAGGAGGTGGTGGTGGTGGTGACGACGACGTTAACATGCAATACGTTGAAAATAATAATTTAAACATACTTTTGGAAAGGAACAATTTTATTTACGGTAATCACGTACATTTTCATAAAACGAGCAGAAGACTTCCGCAAGCACTTATAATAGGTGTTAGAAAATGCGGTACTAGAGCGCTGTTGGAAATGTTGTTCCTTCATCCTAACATTCAAAAAGCTGCCGGGGAGGTACATTTTTTCGACAGAGATGAAAATTATAAAAAAGGATTGGAATGGTATAGGAAAAAAATGCCGCATTCGTTCAAAGGACAAATAACAATTGAAAAAAGTCCGAGTTATTTCATAACACCGGAAGTAAGTAAAAAATTTTTTCCTTCCCTTTTTTTATTTATTATTAAAAAGATGATATGAATATAAAAAGGAAAAACAAGAGCAACAGCAACAACAGCAGCATTGAATTACAATTTTGCTGTTGATACGATCGAGCACTTACCTAAAAAGGTATGCTAATGACGTAACTTAAACCTTTATTACTCCTTTTTCAATTATTACATACCTTTTCCCAAACATCCCCGGATTTATCCCTTTCTAAACCTTTTTTGGGAGGATTTTTTACATTTTTTTTTTCTTTAAAGGTACCGGAAAGAGTCAGAGCCATGAATTCCAGCGTAAAACTTTTAATTATCGTTCGTGAACCTGTTACGAGAGCCATATCAGATTATGCTCAATTAAAAAGTCATTCCGCAACAGCATCTTCTTCATCTTCGTCGGTTGTAACATCACAATCGATTCATTCTAAAACATTCGAAGAACTTGCCATTAAACCTGACGGTTCTATAAACCTTTCTTATCGTCCTGTTGCAACGAGCATATACCACAGGTTTTTACATCGTTGGCTCGATGTTTTCACGAGGAATCAAATATGGATCGTTAACGGTGATAAATTGATCAAAGATCCCGTCCCGGAATTGAGAAAAATTGAATATTTTTTAGGTTTGGAACCTAAAATAAGTAGAAATAATTTTTTTTTCAATTACACGAAAGGTTTTTACTGTTTGAGAAACGATACGACGGATAAATGTCTTAAGGAGACAAAAGGAAGAAAACATCCGAAAGTTAATTCCGTTGTCGTGACTAAATTAAGACAATTTTTCAGCGAACATAATCAAAAATTTTACGAATTAGTCGGTGAAGATTTCGGATGGCCGGATCAATAATAATAATAATAATATAAAATAATTTTAACGTGAGTGTTATTGTTATTATTATTATTTTTTTTTTAATAACGTGTCTTGTGTGAATTTTTTTTGTTTTTTTTTTTTATCATTCGTTTTAAATACCTACGGCCAACGAGTAAAAGCTGTGCATTTGATAAATATATATATAAATTGTTATAATAATAATAATAATAATAATAATAATAATGAGCAAACGCTCCTTGTGCCTGACTAACGGTTTTTTTTTTTTTTTTTTTTTTATAAATTTTTTAAGTTAAAAAAAAAAAATTAAATAAAGATGTAAAATGTATATTATTATATTTATTTGATAAAAATCGTGGGATTAAATTTAAAAAATTCCCCATCCCCCCCGAGCAATAAATAATAATAATAATAATAATAATAATAATAATAATAATAATAATAATAATAATATTTATTTTTTAACGGTTATAAACAAAAAAAAATGGAGGGAAAAGCAATAATTAATTTTTTTTTTTTTTTCATAAACCAAAAAAAAAAAAATGATTTATTTGACAACTAACTTTTTTTTTTTTTTTATCTAATGATAATTATTATTATTATTAGAATACTTTAACTTGTTTTTTTTTTTGTTTGTTGTTGTTGTTGTTGTTGCGTTCGTTATAAAAAAAAAAAAAAAGTTACAAACAGGAAATCAAAGGGAGATAATTGCTAATTTAAAACGTGTTACTCTCCAGGCGTTTTATTAACGTTCGCGAATTTTTTTTTTGTCAAAATGGCGGATAAAAAAGTATTATAAGTAATTAATATTATTATTTTATTATAAATTATTACGTTCGACGACATATCTCTTTTTTTTTAATTAATTAATTAAATAATGATAATAATTAATTTTTTTATAATGTAAAAAACAACAGACACGAAAAAAACGTTTTTATTTTTTATAAAATAATAATAATAATAATTCGATAGTAGTTGTAATTTTATATTTAAAAAAAAATAAAAAAATAGTTTAATTACGTATAAAATCGGTAATAATTTATATTTTTAAATAAATAATTCGTCGCAATTAAGTCTTCTTCTTATATAGTTAAAAATTTTAAATAAAAATTTTGTTTTTGGGGGGGGGAGGAAGGGGAGGTCATTTTTGTTACAAATCATTTTGTAAAAGTTTTTTTTTTATGTATGTGTGTGTTATTTATGTAAATAAATTTTGTTTTTTAATTTAATTAAGTTTTTGAATAAAATTTTAAACATTCAATTTATAAAATTTGATGAATTGTAACTTCACAGCCTTTTTTTTTTTTATTTTAAACATAAAATGTAAAAAAAAAAATAAAAAATAAAAAGCCAAAATCAAATTGTGTTTGTTTGTTGTTGTATTATTGATTTTTTATTTTTTTTGGATGGATTTTAATTAAATAAATTTTTGTTTGTACAATTTTATTTAGTAATAATGTATTATATATAAATTTAAGTAATTAAGGTCTAAAGAAATTGTCTTTAAATAATTTTTTATTATTATTAAAGGCAATTTTTTATTAAAAAAACATATCATATAAATAATAACATATATAAATATTTTGTTTTTAATATTTGTTTTTATTGTAAAGAGAATATATATATATATAAAAATAAGAATAAATTTTGTGATTGTTTTAAATTTAAGACAATTTATTTATTTTTCTTTATTAACATTTAAAAACCTTAAATAATTTAATATTATTTATCGATTTTCCAAAAAATATAAATATAATTTGCATATAATTATAAATAGGGAATTCAACCTCAAGGAAAAAATGTTTTGAAACAATAAAAATGAGTTTCGAAACTTTTTTTTCATAAGTTGGCTATCCCGTATTCGTATTTATTTTAAAATTGGCTCGCTTAAGTAACGTTGGTTCGTTCCTAAATATGACTTGATTTAATTTTTATGTGAATTTTTTTTTTATTTTATTAAAAAAAAAAATGTTGAAGTGCGATGTGTGTAAAAATGAAAGCTTTGAAAAATTTGACGGGTATATGTATTGTACAGAATGTCATACTCAATCGCAGGTGAGTTTTTTTTCATTGAAAAAAATTTTATATTTTTTTTAAAACGAAATTTTTTTTGCAATCTTATGTATATATTTAAGGAGTATATCGAACAAGAATTTGAATTTCACGGTGCTACTTTTGTAAAAAGTAGACCTAGCAAAAAAGTAAATAAATCGTCAAAAAATAATACTACTGTAATTGAAGGTAAGTTATGATAGATATTTTATATATTTTTTTTTTTTTTAAGTAATATAAAAAGAAGTATATTGTGACGTTTTAAGGAACGTGGACATCATGGGAAGCTTTCAATTATATTTTATATGGGATGACAAAAGAATTAAGTGACTGTTTTCCTTTGCCATCCGAATTTCAATCTCTAGTCTTAAAATTATGGGCAGCATATTTAAAAGCTTGTAATGTTGCTTTTACTTCTAAATATAGTGAAACCAAACCTAAATTACAAGTAAATTTTAAAAAACGAGATGCTCAGGTGAATTAATTTTAATAAAAATGAAATTAATTGTGAAAAAGTTTTAATTTAAAAAGCAACATTATGATATTTTAAAAATTATAATTTTAAAGGTACTGTTTAATATGCAATTCAACGAACAACCAACGAAAAAAAAGAAAAAAATTGAAAATAAAAATATTTCATGTAGTTCGATAAAATCGTCTCTGAGCTCGAGAGCAGTTAGTAGAAGAAAGGTAAAAATATCAATTATAAAAGTTCCTGTTTTACACTTTTCTTTTTTGATAACAAAATGTAAGATGTCAATATTATTTTTAAAAAAATTTTTACAGAGGAAAATAATTACAGATGATTATGAGGCACATTTATCACAGTCAATGCTATCCCAACAAAGTTTAGAAAATGAAACTTTAGAATCGTTAGGAAGATCAACTTTAATTGATGATGATGATGATGATAATAAATCCATGTCTCTGTATAATAAGAAAAACAAAAAATTGTGAGTTTTAAATTTAACCATATTTTTGTTTTTTCGTTTAACTTAATAAATTGTCGTAGTTGTACATATGAAAAACAAATTTCCAGATTAAAACAAGTTTTGGATGATGATGAATATGTTTTGTACAAACAATCATTGAAATCTAACAGAGACAAAATAAATGCTAAAGGTCAATCGAAAAACAGTATCAAATCAATGGGTAAAAATAAACTATTATCCATATTACATTTAGCTTTATTAATGTCGAAAAGTAAAATTCAACTCTGTGATTTATTTAGGTATGCAAAAAGGTAAAAATTTATTTAATTATTTTGAATTTTTTTAAAAATATTAATACTTAAAAATAATATTTATAGGTTAATTAGAGAAAGTCATTTATCTTTTGCCAAAGTAACACATTTTTTACCTGAAAATTATAAATTTTCAAAAAGAGATGTAGGTTATATTGAAATAGTTTCCGATACTTTAATGCCGACTCATTTTAAACAGAGGTATCTGACGAGTAAATTAGCAAATTTAATTGGAATTAAAGAAATTTATTCTCCAAACATGTCTTCACTTGTGCAAAGATATTGTAAAGATTTAAATTTACCAGGTGATTTTATTACATCAATTACGAAAATGATTTAAACAAAGTAAATACTTTGTACTTATGCTTTTTGAAATTTCAAGGTAAAATCAGTAAATTAAGTAAAATCATTGTCGAAAAATTTGTTCCGAAAGTTTTTGAACCGAAATCATCATCATCATCATCTGTACCAAGTTATGAAGCTTGTGCTATTGCATCAATATTATTCATAATGAAATTATTATTCGGTTTAAATGACAGAACTGAAATATTTTTAACAGATTTGGCTGAAAACATTAACAGGTAGGAAAAAAACAATTATTTCTTATTAAAAGTTCATTTTAAATCCAAAAATAATAATACAAATTATTCATTTTGTTTTTATTAGAACCGTTACAAAATCCAAAGTATTATTTGTATTTGAAAGATGGCAAAAATTTATTGAATGTAGAAAAGTATTATTGAAAGAGTATCACTACCCGACTCACGAACAACTCGAAAGAGGAGAATTGAAAAGTTCTAAAATGTTTTTAAACGCTTTATATAGGGAAAGCAAAGATGATTTCCGGGAATCCAGGTTTATTCCATACAAAAGTAAGTTTTTTTAAAACTTTTCAACTTTAGCCGAAAAAAAAAAAAAAAAAAAAATTTTTTTTAATTATTTTTGTTTTTTGTTTCATTTACGCAGAGTACTACATGGATGGGGATTTAATAAGTAACATAAAATCAATGTTGAGCGAAATTTTAGAACCCATAGAAATAGATTCGATAAATTTTCAACCTTCGTTGACTCCACAAACCTCTCATTTGAATGCGATCATACTCGTGAGTTATTAACTTTTTAAAAAAAAAAAAACGTGTAAATAACTCGAAAAATAAATAATAATAATAATTTTTTTTTTTTAGAGTTTAAAATCTAAATGTGAAATGGAAATGGGAAATTCGGAAAAAATTTTACGGGAGTCGTTTAAAAGTTGTAAAATTGATTTCACGTTTAATCCCCGTAACTACGTGAAAATATTAGAAAAGGATGAAAATTTCGAATCCGTGATAAACAAATTGAGATTTTACAAAGGTTGGTTTTTTATCTTGTGACACGTGGTTTTTTTTTAAATGTTTTCACGTGAAGATGTTTTTTTTTTTTTTTTCTCTTTCTCTCTTTTAGATTTCGTTAATAAAGATAATGAAATGGAAATCGGTTCGAAAAGGATCGGGAGCCCGAGTTCGAATTATTGGATTTATCACGATGTCGATATAAAAAGAATTTCACATTGTGATTTCGAAGGGCATTTTTTAAATTTCACACCGAAAAATTTCCAATGGCTCACGATCGAATGTTCGAGAATGATCGAAATGAAAATACGTGACGTATACGGTGAGCTAATGACACTTGAAAAATTTTTTATTACGAAAAAATAATAATAATAATGATAATGATTGTTTTTAATTTTAAACACAAAAAACGTGCGTTTGTTATTCAACTGACGAACGCACGTTCGAATCGGGAGAAAAAGGTTTTTTTAAATCAAGTTGTCGAGGGGGGAAGGGGAGGGAGCGGGGGGGGAAAGAAAGTCTTTTTCGCTTTCTTTTTCGTCTTTGTCTTACTTTAATAGGGTTTTATTTATCCGTCGCCGAGCCACGGATTTTGTGTTAGGGCCTCTTAATCAAACTTTGTAAAAATTTGTTAATGTTTGAAATGATGTGTGAAAAGTCAACATAATCTTAATTATTGCTTAACTTACCGAAACTGACTAACTGACTAACTAACTAACTAACGGCCGTAATAAAATTCATAACCGTAATAATACAAACAAATAAGGATAATTTTAATTGCGTACATGAAAGAGACAATTTAATTATTTATTAACGTGTTAAAACGTTTAAAATCGCGTCGTTAATAAAGGAATCGTTAAGTGCGAATATACTCGCACACGCACATGCACACGCGCACGCACAAAGGAATTAAAAAAATGAAAATCGAAATTATTTTTCTAAAAAGGTTTTTTTTTTTTTTATTAAATTTATTAACAATAAAAATAATTAAATTCAACCTTTCTTTATGTTTTTTTTTTTTTATATCGCGCTTTAAAAAGAAAGAAAGGTTGTTTAAAAAATTTATTTATTATCATCATCATCATCATCATCATTATTATTATTATTTATTACGTGTTTTTTATTAATTAATTTTCTAGCCGAAATTTTCGGAAAATTTCAACACGGCGGTATTTATACGTATATACGTGATTACAAAAAAATTTTTTTTTTTTTTATTAATAAATAAATATTGGAGGGGGCGGAGAGGGGAGTTGAGGGGAGGGGGCGGGGAGTAATCGGATAATGAGAAAAAATTAAATTAAGTTACATGTTGGTTTCCCATAGTTTTAAATAATTATCGATGACTTCGATGAACCATTTTCTTTTTTCCGGGTCTTTGAAAGCGGGCGCGATGGTTTTCAATCTAACGCGAGCATGGCTTCGTTACCCAAAAGGTTGTTCAGTGCTCGCAACAAATCCAAATTGCCGTGGATTTTAAGGAGAGAGGGATAAGTGAAAAAATAAAATTGTATTCTAAGGTTTTGCGCCGCCCATGATTGAATGGATGAATTCCCGCTCGCGGTTTGTATTTCTCCAATGTGTTCGGCGTACCAGGGTGAGAAAAATCCCGACAATTCGGCATTTGATAAATCTTCGACTCCTTTGCTTTTGAGCCTTTCTTTGATCCTCACGTAAATTTGCGACGTGTACACGAACACCTTGAAAAACACGAAAAAAAACAATATTATTATTATTATTATTATTAATTGTTAATGGGTATTTTTTGGCACTCCGGTAGTCGTGAAATTTTGCCACGCCTTTTCACCCATTTCCCCCCCTCCGCCCCTTTTCCCCCGCCCTTCCTCCTTTTTCTTATCCAGGATTTGATTTGTTTATGTCTCGAGGTTATGAATTCTTTTTTTTTTTTTTCACGTGAGAAAATTTTTAATTAATTTTTCCCCCATTTAAAAAAAAAAAAAAAAAAGGTTAATTTAAACAACAATCGAGATATAATGTTTAAATGATGTTTTGCGGGTTTGTTTGTTTGGTTGTTTGTTTGTTGTTTGTTTATAATCGTTTTAAAGGTGACAAATATTACCTTAAAACTCATTAACACATTTAAAATTATCGTAAAGTCATTAAAAAAAAAAAAAAAAAAAAAAACAAAACAAATTATCCTCCCAAATATGTCCTTTATTATCATTATTATCATCATTATTATTATTATTATTATTATTATTTTAATGTTTACTGAAATATTTTATGATAAACCGCGACGCGACGAGGGTCGTTAATAATTAACGGATTATTTCGAAAAAAATGTCGAAATAATAATATTATCGCGTTTTGTTTGTGCGTGTGATAACATAAACGTTGATTGTTGTTGTTGTTGTTGTAATTATGAACAAAAACAAACGACGACAATCGGAGGGAATACAAACGGGGCAAATCGTTTATACAATCGTGATCTATTTTTTCTATTAATTAATTATTTTATTGTTGCCTTGAAATTTTTTAAAATTTCCTGGTTTTAGAATTTGCCCAAGTTTAAATATAAAATACATAGATTTTTATTAACTATTATTATTATTATTATTATTATTATTATTATTATTATTATTATTAATCAAGGTTTTATAAATGGAGAGAGCGCAACCTTAAAATTAAATGAATTAATTTAAAAAAAAAGGAAAAAAAAAAACAAATTAAGGTGGTGTGGACGTGGGTGGTGTCGTTCGGTTTAAAACCTTTAAATGACGTCATTTAAACCCCTCAAATGACGTCATTTAAATCCGGAATCATTTTAACCGTTACAAAAACTGAATGGATTGAACTAGAACAATCATTAAAACTTTTTTTTGTTGTAAAAGTGAAAGGAAAATAGAGAGAAGGTATAACGTAATTCGTTACGAATTATCCGTTCGTTTACGACATAATCTCGACATAATTATTAAATTACGAAAAAACGAACGCGAACGGTCGATTTCCAACCGTCATTTTGATAGGAAAAAAAAAAAAAAAAAAGGAAAATCGTACGGGAAAACCGGAAGTTTAAAATTAATTGTCGAACGCTCGACTTCCTTTCACTTACAAACTAAGGATTAAGGACGGGTAAACCCGCGACATTTTACGGCAAAATGATCGTTTTTACGTTATTTATTATCATTATTAATATCCACATTAATAATAATAATAATAATAATGATAATAATAATAATGATTGAAATAACGTATAGGGTACGCGCGTTTATATTAAATTTTTAAAAAAACGTGAAGGAAACGAATTAAATTTTTTCAAGATCTAATTTTTATAAGTGGCAAAGTCAATCAGTCAATTATCAACTTTCATAACTTTCGTGATCACCTTGAAAACATAAAAACATAAATCGAAAACATAAAAAAAAACGGGGCGACGATCGAATTTTCTTTTTTTTTTTTTATTAAACAAAAACATTAAAATGTTTGTTGTTGTTGTTGTTGTTATGTTTTGAATGTGATTCGGGAAGGGGGGAGAGAAAAAAATAATAAAAATTTCGAAACAGGATATAAAGAAATATAATTATTAGGGGTAATGGATTTTTAAAAAAAAATTTTTTTCAATATGACCAACCTTGGAAAAAAAAAGAAAAATGTTTTAAACGTTTTGACCTTTTAAAATAAATATATATAATAATTTTTAAATGTGTTTGTGTTTGTGGTTGTAGTTCTGTTTGTTAAATGTATGAAGGTTTACAACAACAACAAAAAATTTTCATAGGATTTTTCCAAAAGAAACGTTAATAAATTTAATACTCTTTCCGGTCTCCCGTTTCCGGTCTGGGAAATTTTCCGCGGATTTTTTTAGTTACTTTTCCGAAGAAAAAAAAAATTTATGATTGACCGTTTCGGGATTTTAATTATGCCCACTTTTTTCCCCCTAATCTAATGACACGTTTGACATTTAACGTTTAAGATAAACGTTTTTTTCTTCGGTTTCGTTCCTTCTGATTTTCGGTTCTTTATCACGTGACCCATGTTCAGGCAGGAGATAACATCTTGAGATGCTGTTGTTCGTTTAATGGTTTAGGTAACGGGTGGAGGGGGGAAAACCCCTACAAACTCGTGATTATTTCTAAGAAAATAAAAGATAAAAACTTAAAAAAATTTTTATTTTAAGAAACTTATTAAGAATGATTGATTGAGTGAGTGACTGATTGAGTGATTGATTGATTGATTGATTGATTGACCGTTGTCGGGGTTTATAAAAAAAAAAGAAAAAAAAAATGTTTTAGTTTAAAATTTTAAACTGATTTTACGAAATGATTTCATTCATTTGAAAAAAAAAAAAAAATTCACGTGCGTTTCCCTCCTTTTCCCCCCTGCCCCCCGATACCCCCGCCCCCTGCAATTCAATCTCAATCAATCAATAATAATAATAATAATAATAATAATAATAATAATAATAATAATAAGCCAACGGCCATAGCGTGCTGGTCACACCGGTTCCCGTACGATCACCGAAGTTAAGCAGCATCGGGCGTGGTGCAAACTTGGATGGGTGACCGTCTGAGAACGCCACGTGCTGTTGGCTTAAAAGAGCAAAAAAAAAATGAGAACAAGACAAAGTAAGAACCAAAAAACAAATCTTGTTCTACTGTCGACCTGAGGCAGCTCGACGAGAATGTGAATTTCACTGCTTCTGACCCTGGCCACTCCAAAGATGTTAGTCACCGGAGCCCAGTTCAGGAGACAAATCGTTCCCATCGAAAAAGACGGACTCAGGAAGACCTTCAAGAATTGATGTGGTGCTATCTTATAATAAGTGGCACCACCGAAATTCGAGTATTTGTCCCTAAGGAATCGGGTAGAAACCTCGGATAAATACTTAAAAAACTCCGACAAGTAGCCTTGTCGTGTTTAATGGTGGATAATAATAATAATAATAATAATAATAA